ACTTAATAGTCCTGAGTCTGTATTTTCAACTATAAAAAGAAATGAAATTGTACTTAATATTTTTGATGAATAAATTAGAGACAATTTAATACACTGAGCATAAAGCTTGCATATGGCTAATTCTTAGACCATAAAGTACTTTCCTTTCCACAAAATAGAAGTATTTTACATAGAAAAAGAATCTAACTAGTGCATTAACCAGAAATTCCCCTTAACAATAATTTGAAAAGTGGATTTTTAAAATGCAACACTCTGGTGTTTTATTGGTTTGTACTTTTTTTTTTTTTTTGTCTTTTTCCTTTTTATCGGTACCAGGGATCGAACTCACGACTGCCTGCTTGCAAGGCAGGCGCTTATGCCGCTGAGCCAAATCCCCAGCCCCTGGTGTTTTATTGGTAATAATTTGCTAATTATGTGCAATTGCATGGCAAGACATAAAACACTGCATATTAAAAATTGCTAAATAAATGCTAGTTAGTACTAAATTATATCCTCCCAAAACTAAAAGATCAACAATCCTTGAAATTAGAAAATTTTGGTATTTAAAATTACAGATGACAGTATGAATATGCTTAGAACACTGATAATGATGATATATACTTTCATGAAGTGTTTTACCTAGAACATGATAAAGAAGCTAAACTGAAGCTTAGTAATTTTAGAATTAAAAGGTTAACATTAGGTAGCAATGAAATATTTATTATAAAGAAAATTTTCTCTTCAAATCAATATTAAATTACAATTTTTCATTTATTTTCACTTTAATATCTCTTATATTTCAGAATTACACTACTGAGTAAAGATAAAAGAGTGATGTATCACATTTTAATTTGAGTGTGCCTGGCTTTTTTTTTTTTTTCTTTTGAAAGTATACAACAGAACAAGTCAGAGTAAAGACAACTAAGATCGTACAGTGAAATTGGTACAGAACTTCACAGCAGGTTACCGGGATAACAGTAATAGGTATCACAGTATATTATGGTATCTTTATAATAGTTGTTCTTTCAATCACGTATATCAAAATGAGATGAAATATAGAACACTATAGAATTTATCAAAACAGAATATTGAATAGAGCAGTTCCATTATTCAGAAAAGAGCAAAACAGTAATAAAAATATTTGCCTTCAAAGAAATGGTAGAAGGAGGTCCCCCTTACTTGCTATGGCCAACCTCTCAGGAGATGCTCAGATTTCTGGTTCCCATTTGCTAATGGGCGGTGGGGGGGGGTAGGGGAAGTGGGATATTTGATTCTAGGCCTAGCAGTAGGTTCACTATTGCTAAGCAGGGAGGCAGGATGGTCATTTGTTTTCACAGCATCCTCAGTTCCTCCTGGTGTGGATCTCAGGAGATACTGCTGGCTCTCCACCTGGAAGGGCCTCAGTGGGCCACACTGCCACCACTTACCAGGGAGGGGAGGTGCTTGCTTGGCTTCCCAGAGTCCTAAGTTCCAACATGGCGTGAATCTCAGGAGACCCTGCTGGTTCTCCCCCTGGAAGGGCTGCAGTCTGCCACTCTGCCTCTGCTTACCAGGGAGGGGAGGTGCTTGCTTGGCTTCTCAAGAGTCCTAAGTTCCAACACGGCATGGATCTCAGGAGACCCTGCTGGTTCTCCCCCTGGAAGGGCTGCAGTCCTTTTTTTTTATAAATAGATCTTAGTAAGTCAAAATGTCCCCCCATTTTATATATAAAGGCAGAGCCATAGAGCTTAGCTTTTGAATTTATTTGATATTTTACCTTTCCTCTGTAACTGAACAAGACAAAAGCTTGCCACAATTAAGCCATCCATTACTTAGATACGATGAGACATTGGCCCAGTGGAAATGAATGTTATAAGTGCACATCTCTGCTTTAACATTAATTTTCTGTGATATTTGAACTATATTTTTCCTTTTTTCTTTAATTTGAGAGCTCAGACAAGTCATTGCTTATCTCCTATACACAATTATTTGACCAAATTGGAGTGAAATGTAAGAGATTCTGAGAAGCTTTCCTTTGATTCTGATCAGGTGTTGAAGTTCTTTTATCTAAATAGAAAAGATAAATGTAGTCTAACTCTGGAAATTTCATCATTTGACATTATTTCAAAATATATGAAGATTGATTTCTATGAGTTATGTGAGAGACAGTAGACTGAAACTTCAAAGATGTGCTTTACATAAGGAAGGTGACATACTTATACTCAAAGCTTATTTGGTTAAAGTAGGCATGAGGAAAATGAATATATCAAGAGAGAGGAGACACAAGATAACAAGAATTATGAATGTCAAGAAATAAAAATAATATCTTCCTGTTCTTTACTTTTTAAACTTCAGCCATTCTTATTAGGTTCATTGCAAAATATTCAATTGGAAATCTTGCCTTAAAACCATGCTTAAAATCTATCCCTTACTCTAACCATCTAGGATTTCTGATTTCTTAGAAATTTTACATCACAGGGGCTGGGGATTTAGCCCACTGGCATAAGCACCTTCCTTGCAAGTGTGCAGTTGTGAGTTTGATCCCTGGTACCAATAAAAACGAAAAAGACAAAAAAAAAATTTTACATCATTAGGTATGATATTTTTAGACCCTTATCATATATGTATATATTTAAGAAATTGTATAAACTCACATAGCATCTTATCTTTTTCTTATTAGACAGTAAAAATTACTGGAAATTGGTATGTTTTCTTTGACTATCAGCTCCCTTGTATTCTTTATCCCTCATTCCCCCTTCCTCATCTGTATTTGATCCACATCTTCATTTATCAGACATTCAATGATGTGTTTTGGAGGAGAGACTGTCACAGTAAACCACAGATACATCAAAATGCAAATAACAAAATTATCTTAAAGTTTTGTACCAGTTATTTCCTGGGCCTTTGAATATAGAATAAAAAGACAAATTAAGGGTCAACATACAGGCCCAGTTCACATTTAGATTAATTTATCCAGTTGTTCTTATACTTTTCCTCACCTACTTAAGACCATAATCTCTCTTCTTAAATTTCTTTTATTAGTATATGTTTGTAGTACATGATATTTATATTCATTTCAAGGAATAGATGCATATACTTACCATAAAGTATCTTGATTCTTTTATTGCCTTTTCCTTCTCCATTCCCCTCCCTCTTTATGCATCTAGATTTACTTCCTCCATTTTACACTTTTTAGTTTATGTTTGCAACAGATAATGATTGCATTCATTGTGGTAGTTGGTAAAGTACATGATTCAGCTTAGATCTCTTTTATGTGCACTTCCTCTTACCCACCCTTAGTCTCTTGATACCTTTCCCATTTGCAAGAGGTCTATCCCATCTGCCTGTTTCCCTTTATCAAATTTTTATTTTGCTCTTTATTTGTATTTTGAGTTTCTCACATGAGGAAACAAATCATATAGTATATAAGCTTATGTGTCTGCTTTATTTTACTGACCTATGTTTCCAAGGTGCATCCATTTTCCTACAAATGTCTCAGACTTATCCTTCTTTATAGTTGAGTAATATTCTACTGTGTATTGATAACATATTATAAGAAGTTTTTCTGGACCTTGTTGTGGTATAGTGGAGTCCACAATTTTAATCCTATGGAAAAATTATTGGAATTCCAATAGATAATTCCAATCTACCACTTACAGTGAGACTCATAGTAAGAATAAAGAGATAAATACGTATCTGTAGTTGTGAGGAGCCAAGGGAGTCTTAAGTCCAGTTAGAACAATGGTTAACCTGAACAAAGTCCTCAATCTGGGGCCAAACCCATGTTTTATTAATTCATGAACAGGGCAGTGGCTTGTGGACGAATGATTGTGAGAATATGTAGGTGTTGTGTATCTAGTTTTATGTATGTAGGTGTTGTGAGCTATGCTAGGTAGGAAATATTATAGCACCTCTGTAAACATGCAGAGAGAAGTAGGCATGAAGCAAGAGTAATCTGCATAATACAGCTTGAGGAATTATCTTGTGTTTTGAGGTTGGTGCTTCAGCTTTGATGTCTAGTCTTCATGCCCTAAGACATCATGGGTTCTTTCTCAAGCCTCAGTATCAGCCAACAGTGAGGTGTAACTCAGCCTACCTTATGCATACTTGTTGGAAACTATAGGCCTGGCATCACTGACATGTTGCATTGCTTTAAAGAGTACACATCACCACCTCAACTAAACCCATTTGTATTATTTCAAGTGAATTGAAGGGATAAAGATATCAAGGAGAGTCATCCTAGTTGTTCTTCATACCATATCTTGTTTATCATTTGCATATTGAAGAACGCAGAGTCTGCTTCCAAGATTTAGCTGCTGCCAGTTTTGCTGCTATAGATACTGTCTTTATAGCAAGCCTAGAAAAAAATTAAGCTTGATTCTGGCAGTTTGATTTTCCAATCCTGGGATCTCTCTGGCTTTCCATTATATTCCATTTTGATCATCTACTAGCTGCTTTCTCCGTATAATAGATATTCACACTATGGTTGTTGAGTACGTATATTCCTAGGAAGATGAGATTTTTATAGCTGAGGCTATGTATGGGTATGTGTTTCAGGAAGTCAGTCTCTTTTCACTCAATTCTACTAACAGTAAAGAGAAAACCAGGTTTACCAGAGCTTCGTGATCACAGGGATAATCATGGCAGCAAAGTGTAGGTAGGTAAATAGGAAAGTTATAATTCCACATTTCTGTAAGGAGTTGGGTATTCATTTCAATGTTAGGATTTCAAAGATTTGTGTATCCAAGAATGCCCTAGGCATAGGTCATTATTACCACAGACCTATTGAGAGCTACCTAGGGGTTATCTTTAGATGGAGACATTTCCACTTTGGTACTGGAACACAGCTGAGGAGCTATGAGGAGGATTGTACTGACTACTACAGTGCTACATCATCTATAGAAAGGAGCAGAGAGCATCTGACTTCCTCAAAGTCTCTCTGGTCTGTGTTTTCACAAACTGAAAGTTGAGTGCAGCCACCGAATTGGAGGACTATACACTACGGCTCTATAAATAGAAAGGAAGGTTTCTTCTGTTAATGTGGAGCTTTGTAAGATGTGTGAACAACCCTTTGCATAATACATCACTAATTGGAGAGCAAGAGTGAAGGGCAAAAGAGAGAAAGAGAGAGAGAGAAGTACACACACACACACACACAGAGAGAGAGGGAGAGAGAGAGAGAGAGAGAGAGAGAGAGAATGTTTATGCTGCCCTTTAGAAAACAGAAATGTTCAGTGGGCCCACAGTAGTTTAAGTATTTCACTCAGATATCTCACTACCATGTTGGAAACATGGTAGAGGTTAAGAAATCCTGAACATTTTAATATTTTCTTCTACTTTCGTTTTTCTTTTGAGTTTTGTCTATTTGGCATTCTTTTTATATACTTTTTTCTTCCTTCCTCTTGAATTTCTTTCTTCCTTTCTTTCTTTGTTTTTTGTTTCTTTTTTTGACTTTGGAAAGAGGATAAGACTGCTTGTTTTCAGACCAGGGAGCAAAAATTGATGTATGGATCATTAGAATCATCATTGGAGTGACTGTCAATGATCTTTTTGGAGATCTCCAGAGAAAAGAGAAGCTCAAATGGTAGGTTCCAATTTTTAATGCCTAATTAGCTCTCAACTGTGCTTTTCATCTGTGATATCTATAACTGTACCCTTCATAGGATGTATAGAATATCCTGTTAGAGCTAAAGATGTTATGCATATGATGAACCTGGCCAATCCTCAGGTGTTGTTTTCTTAGTATTTGTAGAAACAAAAGTAATTACACAGTTGATTGCCTAAGGTTGGAGGGGAGACAAATTCTGAATTTGGAAAACTCTAAGTTTGAGTTGCAGAGGATTCTTTGTAGTGTGATATCACATAAAATACATCTTTGACAATTTGTAATTTAACTTATTTGCCTCTAAGTGAAATTATTTGCATTTCAGGCAGTAAGATTTTTATCTACTATTTGATATAATCCTTTGGAGACAGTTTGTCTATCAAATGATTAAGCCTATTAACTTTGTGTAATTTTGAAAATGAAATATAATGATTAAAATGATTGTCACAACATCTCAAGAACTTTAGTAACATGAATGCTTTCTCTTCTCTGCTTGTATAAGTCACACATATTTAACTAGCAAACAAAGCAAATTTTTGCTTTAAGCCAGCACATTTTTGTAATTAATGTTAGCTCTTAAAATTCTATTTCAGAAAAAGCAGCTCCAAAGTGTTTATAGTGAGTGAAAGAGGAAATAAGATAGTTAACGGTTGCTCTGTTTCTCATAGATAAGCTATATCTATACAAGAGAGTAATCAGCACATTAAAGTGTCAACGATAGATAAAATTAATTTGGATTAAATTTACATTTCAGATGCTTATAAATGATGTAACTTATTTTCACAAAATGTAAGTGAAATTGTTCTCTGCTTTGCATGGTATTTCTTGTTTGGATCCAAAGATACAATATTTAGAAAAGTATCTTTTAACTTTAAATCAAACATGAGTCTATCAACAGCATATAAATACTAGGAGCTACATTTAGAAACTGCAAAAAGAAAAGTTAGGAGTAAAAAAGAAGAAAAAAGCATTAAGATCTGCTTTGTGCACATATAAATTCATAGCCGTTTATGCATTGCAAACATGTACTAATAAAATTTTAAAAATAGAAAAGGAAATGATGGATTCCCATTTGAGATAAATACAGGGATGAGAAGGGTAAAACTTGATTAAGAATTGAATCTTAAATAAGTTTACTGTTCCTTTGCTGTCATCAGTGATGTGTACAGACATTTTTTTATCCTACTTTAATCTATCTAGCGTTGAAAATTTTATAATTTTTATTTAATAAACAAAGCTAAATATTTTTAAAAGTTGGGTCATTCAACAATGTAAATTCATTCCTCTAACTGCTATATATCCTAGGTATGGGGAGGATGGTATCAATCCTAGGGATGGGGTTCACCTTCTTTAATTCAGGCAAAGATTTTACCAGTCACACTGGCAAATACTTGGATCATGTGAAATCCACTTTCCACGGTTTGCATCCAACATGGGATACATTTATAATTACAGCATTTTTTGCACTTGTGAACATATGTACTGATCTAACTTGCTATGTTTACATTAATATTTCTGTAAGTATATCTGGTTTATCTATTTTCCCAACACCACTGTATTATGGAGCTGAGTACTTTAAAGGAAATTAAACACAAAGTGAGCATTGTGCAAAAACAAAACAAAATTAAAAATTTCACTGTATTATGCCTGAAAACTGCAGGAATGAACTTGAATATTCTCTTATTTACTAGATAACTGACATGAGAGGAAAAAGAAGCATGCTTCTTTTTCTCTCAGACACTTTTAGCACAATATACCCAGAACCAAAAAGGAAATGTAACTCCTTTTCCTGTCCCCTACCAACGCTGAAAAGAGAAACCACAAATGAGCCTCTTTATCTCGCTCATTAATATTATCACCTTAATTCTTGCTTTTTAAATGCTTTTCTGTCTTTTTAAATCTTAAGAATCTGTCTCCAGATAACTGGAAAGGGAATAAATATTATCAGAAAGTACATTCTAACCTTGTCACTCAATGGAGCAGTGACAAATGTCAGAGACACTTTCATGCTTTGGAAAGTAAAACAGATTAACGGTTTTCACTTTAACAGTTGGAAAACCTGAGACTTAGGCCCTTGAAGTTATGGAACAAATATGTCTGTGAGTCACTGAGAGACAAAAGATTAGAACCTAAGTCTCTTGGGGCCTAGTACAATGTGTGTTTCATTTCTTCCAGCTGCCTTACAAGACTTGTGGATTAAGAAACATCATTATTCATTGGAAAATATTTCAAAATCCTTTGGAAATAACTCAAGTACCTCTCAATACCTGGCATACTTCAGGTTTCTTTGAAGGGTTCCAGTATTTTAGTACATTTTGATTTTCTGAACATCATCATTGTTTTCTAATAGAAACAAGAAATAATTACTATCATTACTATGCCTATAGAAAAAAAAATCCAAAATGCAAATGAATACTGCAATGTAACATCAACTTAGAAGTTGTAGGGTTATGGAAGCTTCTGTGCCCTCTCTAGTGACAAGGCAAAATTTCTACAACAAATAAGATGAAAGAGACTACACAAGAAGTTCTGAGGTACAGGAGATTGCACATTTGTGAAGGGAGTCAAGCTTTCAAGATGTTTACCTGGCTGAAATAGACATGTGGAGCAAATTGGCAAAGAGTAAAGTATGAAAAAATCTAAGTAATTACAGTAACTGATGGTGTGTGAACCCCAAAGATGTTACAATAGCTACTTCCTTGGCTATCGTTAAAGTTTGTCACATAGAAAGGTACTATCTGATATTTAAAAATTAAGTTGAAATTTTTATGTGATCTGTTATGATGAACTATGTGGATCATGTGGAAGCATGTGTTGTGCTCAGAGTGGGAACCTGGGCTGTCAATTCAGATTTCAAAGTCATCTACATCTGCAGCTGCAGCTTCATTTGCATTAGCCAGGAAACAATGTAGACCAAGTGCCTGAAAATAGTGAAAAGTGAAAGACATTATCAAAATCAAGTCTGTACATCGTCTGGAAACCTGCATATGGGTTAGGAACTTTACTATCATTAATTATCTAGTGAGGAAACCTAAGATGAAAATTTTGCCATCATTAGTCATTTGGGTCACATAGAAGCATGAGATGTGCTCAAATTGGGAACCTGGGCTAGCAATTCACAATTGTTTTCGACTGGGACAACATAGTTACTATCTCGTTGGTGATATAAAATGTGTGCAAGTCAAAAATCTTTCAATTCCTTTCTTAATTGTGGACAATATACCTGTTTCTTCCAAAATGTATTATTTAATGCCACATTAATTTTGGTAGACAATAGCAAGATTTTTCTCCCTATTCTCAGGAACAGAGAAAAGATTTTAATATTTCATTTTGTGCTACCAGATAGTCCTTAGAAGCAAATTACTTAATTTTATGTGGCATAATAATTCTTAGAATTATAGGATAGCTATAATGACAGCAATTTACTTTTCTTTAGGTGATTCTAGATGACTAATTAATTGGTTCTTTAAAATTAAAAGTGGGAAGTGTTTAACTCAACGGTGTGAAGAAAAATTAGCAGCATGCAAAAAACTAGATCATTTTTCTATTTATTAGATGTTTTTACAAACATCATAATAAATATGTTTTACAAACTTATCAAACATCACTAAGGTTAAGAGAGACAAAAACACATGAAGGGATTTATAAAAATTGACATGTTAATCTATACTTTATTGGTCTCTATTAATTCTATTATCAAAGTTGTTAATCATTTAATCTTCTAAAGATATACTTATTTAAAAATTTCCCCCATACCTTGCCCTTTTGGGTCTAGTTTTGATTGGATCTGTTTGATTGTATCTTTTGGGTCTAGTTTTGATTGGATCTGTTTGATTGGATCTTTTGGGTCTAGTTTTGATTGGATCTGTTTTTGTTTCTGCTATGATCTTTTTCCCCCTCTTAATCCTAACATCTTATTCTGAAGGTAGAAATATATCTTTTCTAAGAAAGCTAAGTGTAAAACTAAGTGGGTACTAATTTTAATATTTCAAAAATAAACTTGCTCTAATAAAAGTAAGTTCAGTGATTTGACCTAGGATTAGTCTCTGTGAGGAAGAAGCAGTAATAGTGGAAGCATTTCATTTCGTTATCAAAAACAGTCACAGTCTACATCAACACATCTGTTAGAACAATGAATTTTCCTCTGAAAATCAGTGACATCCAAAAAGTTTACAAAACTAAAAAGAAATAGCTGCCTAACTGAAATGCAGCATAAATATGATAGATTACATTGTGAAGTGGCCAGTCTAAATAACCATTTGGGGTTATTACAGAAATCAAATTCAGAGTTCAACTTACCCTGAATGAAAGATCATACTCTGGAATTTGGCCTACTCCTTTGCTCTGGCCATCTTGCTAAAAGTTTCCCTTAAGCGAGGATAGTATAAAATTTCCTCAGTTTTTGACCATGAAATTTGACTAAGCAAAATATTATTAGAACATTTTATAATCTCCAGTGAGAACAAGGCTGCTTTTTAGAATAGAAAATGGTCTGGATCATATTCAAAGTAGAATTACTTGCTAATAACCCATCTTGATTCTAAGTTGAGTTGTAAGAATTCCATATTAAGATATCATCTGTGTATCTGCTAAGGCATTTTCTAGGAGAAAAATCATTCAGGTAATTTAAAGCTCTGATTTCTTAGAATCATTAAAATTGGAAATCTTTGTGATATAACCCAATAGAGAAAGATATTAAGATTAATTACGTGGGTTAAAACTTACCCCCTGACTAGGACTTGTGTCAAACCTGTATGACCAAAGTAAAATCCCAGGCTACATTAGTCCTGAAGGATGTTGACATGATGATTAATCATACTGGTTTCTCTCCAAATATTGTTATACTTCCATTATGTGGGCTGAATGAATATACTGGAAAAAGATGTACTCCTTCTCTTGTCCTTTTCATTAAATGACATTTTAGGAATTTGGAAATAATTTCAACACATAAAAATGGAAGATAACAGTGAATCAATCAC